CCCCAAAACCCCAAAACCCCAAAACCCCAAAACCCCGAACTTTATATAATATCTTGAATAATAAAATGACTGATGGTAATAGGAATTTAAAAATAACAGCTCCAGTAGGACAGGAGCCCCATGAGAAAGAATCAAACCTAAACTTAAACGGAATTGACACTCTTGATGACTTTGACATAAGCCCAGGAGACCGCCTTAGTTCATTTGATAAGATTTCTAAATAAGTCTTCTGATATTATACCTTCTTACATTGAGAATGTAAAGAAAGTACCTACTTTCCAAGAAAATGCAGAGACTCAAGAATCTGGTGATAAAAATATGGACTATGAAGAGACCAGACAGCTAATAAAAGAACCTAGTTACGAGAAGAAGATGTCTGGAGATCCATATAATCAGAGCTCGAGCTTATATATCTCACAAAGACTGGAAGACCTCAGTAACTTCGTTTCAAAGTAAGCCAGGCCATAAATATTTAGAATGCCAAAACTTGAAAGTGATAAAACAATTCATAAAGGAGGCTGTAGTAGTATAGTAGAAGAAAATGAGAATAATTTTTCTAAGCCTTCTTCAGTGAGCCCTTCAGACTCAAGTCTTACGGATTCAGCGACACTTCTAGGTAATTCACTTAAAAAGTCTATTTTCATAGATTCGTACTTCTCACGTAGTTCACCGACGAAAATGGATTCATTAATGGAGAAGCTGAGGACCGATCTCAAGAGGGAATTTTCAGAAATCCTGTGAAAATCTGACGCACTTAAAGTCTACAAAGTCCTTGATGAGAAAATGGATGAGGTCATGGACAAGATCAAAGGGGAAAGCAGCCTTGGTGAGTTGCAATAGTCTTAGAGGGTTTTGCTGTTTTTGAAATTTTGGATTTTGAGTTCATCTAACTTGAATTTTAGAGAACAACTATGAAACTTCGAACAGTATTGATGATGGTAAGTAGGCCTCTTGACATTCTTTGAGCGAGATTCTGGCTGGAATAGTAATATCAATATTTTTGGAGATTCTGATGTAATATTCTGTATAGACTCAAGTGACAGTATTTATGATAGTATAAACTTTTGTGACAATAAATTAACAGACAGTGATATAAAATTAAGCCCTAAGAAGTCAACATCTTTTAACTATCGCAAGGGCTTATAAATAATATTTTATTTAATTGATTCTATATTTCTTATTTAACAAGGGGTTTTGGGGTTTTGGGGTTTTGGGGTTTTGGGGTTTTGGGG